GGCCCAGCATTCAGATGAAATGTTTGTGCTGGCAAATCTTTAAACGAGAGGGTCTGCCACTTTATATGCTCAGAGGCAGTGTGGAGGAAAGGAAATGTAAGCAGATGAATTCCAGATCTACACCTACCTTCCCACAATTTCCCCGGGCAGGAAGTAGGAATGGGAGCGCTTGAGTGAAAGTGTGAGTTGCCGAAAGCGTCGAGCAACAGGGTCAGGAGTCCAGTGATTCGAAAGCTCCAGCGTGGTGAAGACGGACAGACCTGGACTTTACACTCCCCAGAACGGCTTCGACACTGGTTTGCTCCAGAATTTTGCATCTAACTATAATGGTTTCTGTTAATAGCTCGAGTCCACAGACTACAGCCCAAAGGCCAAATTGGGCCTGCTGGCGCATTTTATAAATAAAGTTTTATTGGAACACTGTCATTTGTGAATTGTCTATGACTACTTTGGCCTTATAACGGCAGATCGGAGTTGTTGTAGCCAAGCTCAGATATAGCCTGCAAAGCCTAAAAAACGTACTTTCTGTCCATTGACAGGACAAGTTGGCTGCCCCCTGCCTAGAGCATCCCGCATGTGGTACATGCTTCCCGAAGATGCTCATTCGAACCAGAGCACAAAAGTGGTGAGTATCATTGTACCACTAAATAGGAATGGCACTTGGCTGTGAGCCCATCCTGTGGAGAGTACTAAGCCTACTGGGGTCACTGTGTGTAACCACCCAAACACTGGCCCTGTTATGGGGTATGCTACAGTGATCTCATCCATGGGCACCGTCACTCTGGAAGCTTTAACTCTGTGTATCTGCGTGGTTGTGATACAGTATCAGCTGGTTGGAGACCTCCCTGTGTCACTGAGAGGTGTCCTGGCCTTCAGTAGGAGCCAGGACATGATAAGAATAACTTTTTATAAGGCTCATGGTAGTTGGTGAGCAACCATCAGATATTTCACTGTCATCACCATCAGGAGAAAGACTGACCAGGACTGAGATATATCATTTGATTTGGATTTTCAAAAATCTAGAATAGTTAATAAAGAGAAATGGGATGTTCTCAGCAGAGTAGAGTTTGGGATTAACAGCTTTTCATGGAACCTTACTTTTGTTTTGAAGAACCATGCAAGGTAACTGAACATCCCTGCTCGCTGGGTACTGAGGAATTTCCTGGGACGAGGGATTTCCACACTAAAACTAGGAAAGTTCTGGGCAAACCAGGAAAAATGAGTTAGGTCCATACCTCTTTAAAGGGACGTTTCTGAGGAGAGTGACGTCAGCATCGTGGCAGCATGAGTTGTTCCTTTTTTCTCTCCTGGTTGGTTTACAGCTCACCAAACATCTATAACCCAACCAAAGTGCCGCTACACAGGACACCCAGGAGATACACCCACGTGTGCATCTGCAGTGGGTGGACAGGACCTCAGAGGAGGCTGTGGATCCAGGGGAGTCGTAAGCCTCTCCACCCGCACCTGGTGCCATCAAGAGGAAGGTAATCTGAAGAGGGCAGTACTGGGCACTCATGGGAGACAGCAAGTCTGTGGAGGTGAAGCCCGCCGGAAGGAACACAGCAAGCCATCGGGATGGGACAGAGATGAGTTTGGAGGCAGCCCTGCTCCCCAGAGCTGACCTTGAAACAAGTCGGGATTGTGGTGTTGGCAGCAGTGAGGGGCAGTGACTACCTTTCTGGAAGAAGAGGTGGAGAGTGAAAATGTGTAACATTGAGTCAGCTTGGGAAACCAAAAAAACCTATGCTGTAGCACCACCTTCTGGAAACAAAAGAAAGTTTCTCATGGTCAGCCTACTGCACTTAATGCCAAACAAATAAAGCCTTTGGTAATTAAGGTGCTTGCTACTTCAAATGCTATAGCAAAGGCACATTTCATCAAACACTGTGAAAAATCACAGTAAAACAGTATTGAAAAAAGAAAGTGACAGTTCTCCAGCAACCGAACTTAAAGACACAGAATATTGCAATCGGATAAAACAAACAAACAAACAAACAAAAAAAAACCTTCTAAAGAGCTGTTCTGAAGAAGTTCAAGTGAGATACAAGAAAACTCAGAAAGGCAACCCAATAAACTCAAGAATAAAATTCGTAAACAAAAGGAGTACTTTACCCAGTAGATTGAAGTTATAAAAAAGAACCAAGCATGGGTTGAAGAACTCAATGAATGAGATAAAGGATGTGTTAGAAAGCATTGGTATTAGGGCAGATCACATGGAAGAGAGAATAAGTGACCTGGAGGATAGGAATTTGGAAATTATTCAGGAGAATGAGAAGAGAGAATTAAAATATTTTATAAGTGAAAAAAATGCCAGGCCAATGTGGCTCAGTTGGTTGAGCATCATCCCATGCACCAAGGGGACATAGGTTTGATTCCCGGTCAGGGCACATGCCTGGGTTGTGGACTTGATCCCCAGTAGGGGGTGTGCAAGAGGTAGCTGATCGATGTTTCTCCCTCTCCCTTGCTTTCTCTCTAAAATTAAAAAGTCGAAATCTTTTTTAAAAAGTCTTCATTATAAGAAAATAATTTTTATAATTATGTATGGGGATGGATATTAACTAGACTTATTGTGATTGTCATTTTGTAATATACTTTTTTTTCATTTTGCCTCTTTAAATATTGCTCCGCTTAATTATTTCTCTTCTCTTTTTTTAGGATACCAACTATGGGCATGTTAGGCATTATTCCTGTGTTCTTTAAGTCTTCATGCGATTTTATGTAAGTTTTATCCTTTTTCCTTCCTCTCTCCTTCAGTCTGATATTTTTCTACTGACCTATTCCAGTTTTCATCTTCTGTGTCTAATCATATTTTCCACTTGATTTTAAAAAGATTGATTCCTGTATAAATATAAAAGTTTCCATATTTCATGTTTCTTCTTCAAACTATAAATCCTTTATTTTAAAATCCCTTAATTCTCTGTCTTTGTGCATCTGTTTCTGTTTTCTGTATGTTTTTATAATTTTGGTTATTTAGTCTTTTCTTCTGACATGCCTGTTAATACTTATTGAAATGTAGTCATTTTGTCTAAAAATTTTAGAGGCAACTTGCTAATGTGGATAGTGTTATCACCCTCCAGAGATGACTTCTGCTTGGGGGTGGGGATGGGGGGCTCCTGTGTTGGCGACGAGTCCCCTAATCTACTTGATGATTATCTGCGTGATTTGAAATTGCGATTCCACCTTGTGGTGCAGTGTTTCTGGCTCACATCTCCTAAGGGGTAGCCCTTCAGGGTCCCACCCGAAAGCTTAAGTTGACTTTAAGGCCAGTACCTCCTTGGTGATCCCTACACTCCAATTTTATCCCCTAAACCAGATGTCCTTCAGTTTTGAGCTTCCTAGCCACCCCTTTCTGCCTGTTTTTTTCTGCCTCTCAGTGGCCAGTTACAAATCAGCAGTACCTTACGGAAAAAGCAGAGCTGAACACCAGGTCCAGCTTTTGTACTTTCCTTCTCCTGGGGATTTTGTTCCTTCAGGTCCTCCCTGCCTGACCAGTTTTCTAAAGACTTCATATCTATAAGTTTTATGTTCTATCCTTCTATTTTTTTTTTTCTGGTTGTTTTCAGGAGGTGGGTTTGTCTGTAACAGTCTTCTCTACCATTACTAACATTTGAAATGTATCCAGTATGAGTTGCTATGAAACACATAACATTTTTACTCCTGTAACACAAAGACTGTGCTTCTACTGAAACTGCAGCCCTGGCCGGTTTGGCTCAGCGGTTAGAGCGTCGGCCTGCGGTCCGGAGAGACCCGGGTTCGGTTCCCGCTAAGGGCACGTACCTCGGTTGCAGTTTGTCCCCAGCCCTGGTTGGTCGTGCGGGTGGCAACCACTTGATGTGTCCCTTTCACATCGATGTTTCTCTCTCTCTCTCTCTCCCTCCCGCTCTGTCTGAACAAAAAATGCAAAAATATCATCGGGTGAGGATAAAAAAAAAAAAAATGAAACTGCAGACATTCCAGATGTAGAGGCCTTCCCTTGAAACGAAAACTCTGAAGTCAGGTGCACTTGAACGCTGTGCCCGGGGAGGAGAAGTGTGAACAGTAAGAAACGAGAACTGCAGACCGTCGGCGGAGAGCATCAGTGTCCCCCATTGTAACGGAGCCCGGAAATCGTCAGAAATTGCCCAGATTGGAATCCCCGTTAGGGCCTTTGAAGTAGCGAGAACCCAGGAGTGCGCCCCGTTTGATGCTCCCATAATTTTGTTTAAATGAGAAAATGTCAAATAAGAGTTTAAAAATCGGAATAGATGAAAATATGGATAGTTGATCAAGTAGGGTTTCTATACAACATTATTATGTGATTTATCATGTTTAAAAATATTAATTTCTCATGTTGCATAAACTGGGAGGCAGATTGCAGCAGTTTGAGGAACTTGGTTTTCTTTTCATCTTTGCAGTGTAAGTAGGCTCAGGGCTGAGTGCAGAGCCCCTTTCGGAGAGAATGAGAAGGGTCTGCAGATCTAGAGTTAGTGGTAGGCTGGTACACGCCCTCCTCCGACACTCTGAGACTCCGATGGAAATATCCTCTCTTAACTCGAATTAAATGAGCTGATCACAGTGCCATGTTGTCATCAACAATATATAACAATGACAGAGAGTAGTCCTAAGTCCCCGACAGAGTGCAGAACAACTCTGTACATTCTGAAAAAAATATTATATGTACAGGATGGGGCAAAAGTAGGTGTACAGTTGTGAGTACACAAAACACAGAGTTCATTCTTGTGTTATTACTTACAAATTGTTGTAGTATTTTCCATAGGAATAACTGTAAACCTTCTTTTGCCCCACCCTGTGTTCTTACCCTAAATACAATACACAGTGATCTTCCCCTTTTTTTGTTTTTGGTTCTATCACTGCCTGCCCCCACCTCATTCTCTACAAAATTCTCTTTGAATGAAACTTTAAAAACAACTCTCATACAACTGTAATAACTATTTCTTGACAGTTGGCCTTCCTGTAGTTTTTGCAACTGGGGCGGTTCGTCTTTAAGAGCTTGGTTTTTCAATGCTCGTGAGTTTGAAATGGTTTTGAGGTTTTGTGGTTGCCGTCGATGCTCTGCGGAACTTGGAGCACCAGCTTCCTTGTGCTTGGGCCACGGGCCAGCCCTCGCGAGTACACGGAGACCATGCAAGGGCCCCGGCTGCCCTGCTCCTAGGAGAGCATCGGGCCTGGAAGTCGGGCAGGTGGCCCATCTCTGCACCTCCCCACCGAGATTTCTGGCTTTCCCAGGTAAGTGCGGAAGGCTTGGGGTGGGTCACGATAGTGGACATTGCACCTGAACGGAGCGTGTTGAACTGGCCTGTGCGGTTCTAACTCAGAATCTCCACGCAGTCTTGCTGTGAAAAGAACCTATTTTCTCTGCTCACACTCCTGTGGAGAGCGTGGTCTGACTCCTCTCGTGTAGTGCGCACAGCTGTGCAGGTGAGGCCCGGTTTTCACGAGTGGCTCAGTATGGACAGAGTGGTTTTAGAATCTGTCAAAGAGAAAGGACTCTGGCTGAACGTTTACAGAGGTCTCTGGTGCTGCCTTTCTGTGTTGTTCAGATGTTTATCGTGTAAGTGGTGTATTTTTCCATTATGAAGAATCTTCAGACTCTGTGACTGATATTGTCATGTGCGGTTTGAAACCTTTCTAGCCCTAATCAATAGAGGGGGAAACAAAAAATCAACAGCAATCAGTGACTTTGAAATTTCTAAAAGAAATATATTCAAAATAACACATATAAATATCTTCATTATTTTTTTAATCATCTTTTTTATCCTCACCCAAGGACATTTTCCCATTTTTTGTTCAGATAGAGTGAGAGGGAGAGAGAGAGAGAGAGAAACATTGATGTGAAAGAGACACATCGAGTGGTGCCACCCGCACGACCCAACCAAGGCCGGGGACAAATTGCAACCGAGGTACGTGCCCTTAGCGGGAACCGAACCTGGGTCTCTCTGGACCACAGGCTGATGCTCTAACCGCTGAGCCAAACCGGCCAGGGCTAAATATCATTATTGTAATTCTTTTCCTTCCATTTTTACTACAGGACAGGAGGAATCTGCAAATAACTTTAAAATCACATAATTGAAAGTTAAGAACATCTAATAATTTCAAATGAAGTTTTGGTTTTTTTTTTTACCTGTATTTCCTTTGTATCAGAAGTGCCGCTGTTCGAGCAAGGGCTGGAACAGGATGCCAAGTGCAGAAACAAGTCGGGGTGCACAGCAGGGTCTGGGAGCTGGGAGAAACAAGTCGGGGTGCACAGCAGGGTCTGAGAGCTGGGAGAAACAAGTCAGGGTGCACAGTAGGGTCTGGGAGCTGGGAGAAACAAGTCGGGGTACACAGCAGGGTCTGGGAGCTGGGAGAAACAAGTTGGGGTGCACAGCAGGGTCTGGGAGCTGGGTTGTGCTTCTTTCATGCGTGTAATATGATTTTGTTCTCTGAATTTCAACTTCCTGCAACACTGCACAGTTATTTAGCCAATAAGTCGTTTATTTCGTACTACAGAGTTAAAACTCCATGCTTTCTTTTTCATTGGGTTTAACTCAGTCGGTCAGCATTTTAGTAGATCAGTTAGTACTGAGATCAGTGGATGAGGAATGAGGTGGTATGAATTCTAGAACTCTGTTTTCTAGTAATTGAGGGATCTGGACATGTTCTAATCAGTCTGGGCCAGGGATTGGGAAATTATTTCTACAAAAGGACTAGATAATGAATGTTTTAGGTTTTGTAGGCTAAGAGGTGGAATTGAATATACTATGCAGGTACTTAGCCGCAGAAAAACCTAAAAAATAAAATAAAATAAAATGTAACTATTTTAAAAGGTAATCGCCATTCTTACCTCACAGATGGGACGAAAATAAGAGATCAACCAGATTTGGCCTTAGTGCTATAATTTTCTAACCCCTGTTCAAGGCAATGATTTTAACACCTGTAAAATGGAAGATGTAGACTAGAGCATACGAACCCCAGAGGAGTTCATGGATGATATTTAGGGTAATTTACCAATCCCCTAAAGTTGTATACAAAAAGCTGTGTACGTAAATATGTGTTTTTCTAATGGGAAAAAAATGTCCACAAATTTTCAAAGTGGTCCCAAACCTAACTAAGGTCAAGGACCACAGGACTGGCTGATTAGTCAAGATGCTTTCCAAATCTAAAGTTCAGTGAACCTGCCCTGGCCGGTTTGGCTCCGTGGTTAGAGCGTCGGCCTGTGGTCCAGAGAGACCCGGGTTCGGTTCCTGCTAAGGGCATGTACCTCGGTTGCAGTTTGTCCCCGGCCCTTGTTGGGTCTTGAGCGTGGCAACCACTTGATGTGTCCCTTTCATGTCGACGTTTCTCTCTCTCTCCTTCTCTCTTCCTCCCACTCTACCTGAACAAGAAATAAAAAAATGTCCTTGGGTGAGGATAAAAATAAATAAATAAAATCCAGTGAGCCTACAAAAAGCCGCTTGCAGCGCTGTGAGAGGTGTTCGCACTTTATGACTAAAATAACCTCTCAAAACATTTTATTTTTATTTATTTATTTATTTTTTTATCCTCACCTGAGGACATTTTTCCATTTTTTGTTCAGGTAGAGTGGGGTGGGGAGAGAGAGGCAGGAGAGAGAGAGAGAAACATGGATGTGAAAGGGACACATCGAGTGGCTGCCACCCGCACAACCGACCAGGGCCGGGGACAAACTGCAACCGAGGTACATGCCCTTAGCGGGAACCGAACCCGGGTCTCTCCGGACCGCAGGCCGACGCTCTAACTGCTGAGCCAAACCGGCCAGGGCCTCAAAACATTTTGAAGAAGATTGGAATATGTGCAAATCCGTGACGTCTTCCATAGTAATGAACTTGAGAAAACTTCTGTAATTGGTCTAACATTTCTGAGATATTACTTTGCAAAGGGTCTTCAAATGTAGTATATGTGTTGTGTCAAAATATTTACCAAATATTCTTATCGTTCCCCTTGTTTTTGACGACAGTGGCGTTACTGGTGACCATCCTAATCAAACCATGTAAGCAGAGTCTCTGTCCTGCAAACAGGGTTTCCTTGAGGGCAGGCGCGTGTCCTTTCACGCTTGCCTTCTGAGCCAGTGCCTGGCGCATGCTCCGTCTCCACCTCGCTGGGGCAGATGAGTGAGTGGGCTGAACACACAGAGGGATGAAAAGCTGAAGACACCACCTTTGCGATCATTCGCACTGGGTACTGAAGGCTTAGAACCCAAATGCCCTGTGATCGGTGGTCGTCAAGTCCAAAGATCACTTCTCTTCTCAGCTTTGGACATAACTGATTCCAAATTACTTGGTCAACTAGAAATTGCAGTTCCTGGGGATTAAGTTATTTTTTTAAGAGTGAAATTTGTTGAATTTAATTCACCGGGAAGAGAGAAATGCTTCTTTTTTTCTTTTTTTTTTTATCCTCACCCGAGGACATTTTTTTGTTTTTTGTTCAGATAGAGTGGGAGGTAGAGAGAAGAAGAAAAAGAGAGAGAGAGAGAGAGAGAGAGAGAGAGAGAGAGAAACATCGACGTGAAGGGACACATCGAGTGGTTGCCACACGCACGACCCAACCAGGGCCGGGGACAAACTGCAACCAAAGTGCATGCCCTTAGTGGGAACCGAACCCGGGTCTTTCTGGACCGCAGGCCGGCGCTCTAACCGCTGAGCCAAACCAGCCAGGGAGAGAAACACTTGTTACAGACTGTCCAGTAACCTGGTCTCTGGGGTGGGGTGAATGCGGAGACCGTTCCGCACCCCAGCACTGGAAGGGCATCATAGGTCCAGCCTCAGCAACCAGCTCTGTGCAAAGATCCGTGTTTCAGCAGGGCACACAGTGCAATGTCCCAGCTGAAGGCAAAGGGCCGGCCACCCCGTCAGGCTGTCTCCCTTTGTGACGTGAGAGTAGCAGACACGTCGGTGATGTGAGGAGCTGAACTGCTCTAGCCACGTGGTCTCAGTTAAAAGGAATTTTCTATTAGAATCTCCCTTTGCCAGATGTGCAGAAAAAATCCACGCGTGCATGGGTAACTGGCTCATGTGTATTGTTTGACTTTAACTGTACAATCGAAGGTCACAGTGCTACTTTTTCATGCAAAATAAAACATGTAATTTATACAGTCGTTTTTTCTGTACACCCAGCTTCCACATATTTCGATGGGCAAGCCCACTAGGCATATTCTCTCTCCTAAGAGTCCAGCCCGTGTTCTTCCCCCGACAAAGCTTAGTTGAAAACCCACCGGCCCCGGGAAGTCTCTGACTCACTCGGTCGAGGTCCTCCCTTTTCCAGTCCCGCTGGGCTTTGTCCCCGCAGCTTATACTCCGAACAAACGTGGACCCCGAGGCCCGGAACCGTGTCGTTGTGCTGGGATTCACCCCTCAGAGCTCCACTTGACAACTTGAGGGCAATAACTCTCACGATTCACTTGTGACTTAGAGAGAAAAAATAAGTCCTCCACACGGAACACGGCAGAGAGTCCCTTTCCTTCTCCAACCTCTTGGTACATACTACGTTGTGCATCATAGGGTAATAAGTATGGATAAGTAGCAATTAAGAAACGGCAGTCGCTTGTGCTTTTCGTGTGTTTGAAAGGGTTGCCATGAGGGGGGTTTGATAAGCACTGTGACAGTTCAGCTCAGCTGCCCCCCCTTTACCTCCCCGCCACCTCCAGCTGCCAGATGTAGAAAATGACAAAAACACAGGACTCCCAATGCAGATTTCAATAAACAGTAAATAGTATTTTTCAGTATAAGTACATCCCAAATATTGAAAGGGATACTTACATTAAAAAAAGTATTTGTTGCCCTAGCCAGTTTGGCTCCGTGGTTAGAGTGTCCGTCCACAGTTCGAAGAGTCCCGGGTTCAGGTTCGGCCAAGGGCACATACCTGATTGTGGTCCATCCCCAGCCCCTCCCTCCCTCCCTCTCTCCCTCCCTCCTTCCCTTCCTACTTTCCTTCCTTGTTTTAGTTCTTTTAAAAAATGAATTGGACTTGCTCCCCTCCCCCCATTTCATTTTATCCCTTTCCTATGTTGGAAGATAGGCATTTTGTTTTATTCTTTTAGTGCTTTCAAAGAAATATGAACTTCCATATTTATTTAAGAACCCTGAAGTTAAGCAATGTCTTACTTTCTTCCCAAACAATACACAGATCTTAGAACATGTTGACCCCTCCCTTGTTAATACGATATTGTTGCCTAGTATTTGAGTGTTGTTCTGTCGTTTGGCCCAATAAATTAGATGTTAGTAATAGTATTG